GCGTACTGCATGCGGGTCTCGCGGTCGTGCTCCAGCCACAGCACGGACATCTGGAAGAGCGCCAGCTCCGACTCCACGGGGGGCGGCAGCGAGTCCAGCAGGGCGCGCATCTCCTCGAAGTTGAGCAGCAACACATCCTCCACCAGGTACTTGTTGGCCAGCTTCTTGGTCTCCTCCAGGCCGTGCAGCGCGGCGATCTTGCACACCTGCTTGTAGTTCTGCACCGAGATCTGGTCGTTGAGGAACTGCACGCAGAGCTTGGTGACCTGGGGGATGTGCAGGATCTTGCTGACCGACAGCACCTCCTCCACCGTGTCCAGGGACAGGGTCACATTGGCCGTGTAGAGGTACTCGAGCACCAAGCGCAGCCCGATGGACGAGCAGCCCTGCAGCACCAGGTTGTTGATGGCCCGGGGACTGGTCAGCAGCTTGTCGTCGGGGGAGGAAGAAGGAGTCCCGGGCTCTTCCTGCGGCGGCGGCTGCTGCTGCTGTGACGGCTGCTGCTGCTGCGGCGGCTGCTGCTGGTCCTTGGGGGCCCCCAGGCCGTCCTGGCCGCCGACCCCTCCCCCGAGAGGGGGGTGGCTGGAGAAGAGCGATCGGAAGTACTGCGAGCAGGAGGCCAGCACGGCCTTGTGGCAGTGGAACTGCTGGCCCTGGGCCGTCAGGGTCACGTCGCAAAACAGCTGCTTCCTCCACAGCAGGTTGAGGCCGTGCAGCAGGTTGTCGCTGTGGCTGGGGTCGAAGGTGGAGGTCCTGTCCCCGGATCTGGACATGGCGAGCTGACTCGGTGCACCTGGCTTTAAACCCTCCTCCAACCTGGCAGACAGGGGTGGGGGATGGGAGGGAGGGGAGCAGGGTGGTGGATGGGGTGGGGTGTGGTCGGGGTGGGGAAGGGTGTGGAGGGGAGGGGAGGGAGAAGAACAAGAAACAAGGCTCAGCTTAGCTCCCTCCTGGCGCGCTCCGGACCCCGACCCTAGGAGGAAAGTCCGAAGACCCTGGATCCGTGAGCGCCACCAGAAGGGCCCTGTCTGGGGTCCCGGCGCCGGTTCTGCTCCCTGCGACTCCTCTCGCCACCTCCCACACACTTCGTACCTCACTTTCCTAAAACCACCTCAGCTGTTGGCAGCAACAGCAGTGGCAGCAGCGACGGCAAAGTGGCGGCTGAGGCCGAGGCACCTCGTGGGCTCGTGTCCATGCCGGGCCGGAATGAAGGGAAAGGCCGGGGAGTGGGGAGCCGGGGGTGCCCTGAAAGCGCAGAGGCGACCGACGGTGAAGGTTTCAGGTCAACTTATGCCCGAAGCTTTGCTTTTCGCAGTTGGCCCAGTTTGGGGGAGGGGGTAGGAACAGGGGCCCGACAAGCGTGCGGGGTGGGCGAATCTTAGCTCTCCAAAAGCTGGGACCCCCTTCGATTATCCATGCTGCCCCGAGAAACTCCTAGGCTAGTAGTCTGAGGGAGGAGATAAAGCCCTTTCTTCTCCCGGGAAAGTGCAGCGGAGCGCGGTGAGGACCCGCTCAGTGGACTCGGCAGAGGCGGGAGCTGTCCTTATCAATTCGAGCTCATTTCCCTCACCCTGGCCCTGCCCGCTTCCCTGCTTCGCAAACTGTTGGCTTCCCCGTCACCACTCAGTTTGGCTCATTTTTCAGAGACGCCTTTAAACCTGGCAGGAGAATCCTTCCACCACCCCCACCCCCACCCGGTGGCCCCCTTTCCCCCGTCTCGCTCATTTCAAAGCGCGGAAGTTTGGGCATCTATCTCCCCTTCCAGTGCGGGGCGGCACCGAGGACCCAAGGGAGGAAGTGGGGCTGCGAGGACGCGTTTGGAGCGGGAGCCGGGAGGCCGGGAGGCCGGGAGGGATTCGTGTGCACGGTTTTCCCTCCCGGGCACCAGGCGCAGTCGCTTTAACTCCAGTAACTATGAGAAGTTCAAGTTAGAAGGCAGGTGTTGGGGGGAGG